CTGGTAAACTGGTTAAATGCTTTGCTTGTTGTTGCCACATAAAATCCTGGCCAGCCTCCGCTTACAGTCATTGCCTGTAATGACTGGAATTTGTGGCCAGCCCGATATGAGATGGGGCGGCCAGCACATGGGGCTGCCTGCACAGATAATCGCTCCGACTTCCATTCAAACTAAGCCCTTGAGCTGACACAGAGGCTGGCACTCAAAACGAATAACGAACGAGAGATTTGAAGTCTTGTAGCTGCGGCAGAGGCTCTCCAAGTGCAGTCAAAGTGTAGTTAGCCCGGCTCTATTTGCCGGCCGCAAATAAAGCTGTTAATAGCACAAATGTTGTGTTAAGTAGGCAGCAACACCTGGGCTACTTTGAAACAGTTTATATGTTGTTTGACGTGAGCATTGATTTTTATTATTCTGTGTAGTGAATCAACTAAATCAAATAGCAACGAAAATTCTTTGTGATACAATGGACACGACGAAGATGAGCACTGCCGAACAAATGCGAAAAGAATTGATGGATCAAGGGATGTACGTACACTGTGCACAAAACACGAGACTCTTCAAACCCAACCACACTTATTTACAGCGCCCCAGCAATGATATCACTTATGCTTGAAGACAGCCCAGAGTCTATAGATGAGGTTCAGTTCAAACCAATGCCAATTGAATTCAGAGACGAGCCTATTCCGTGCCATCTAATATGCGATCAAGCCAAGCTGATGGCTGAGATAGCCAACATTGTGCAGAATCGCATTCTCACTGACGTCCAGGTGGTGGTGCACGGTACCCCATTTGACTGCCACTTGGCCGTGCTGCATATAGGGTCGGACTACTTTAAGCAGTTTCCCTCAACAAACAAGATCGTTATCGACGAGCCCGATGTGACGGTGCTAAGCTTCGAAAAGATCTACGAGTGGATGATCAACTCGAATTTTGAGGTCGACTACGAGAACTGCTTAGAGCTGTACCTTGCAGTACGCTTTCTGCAAATTCCCCGCTTAATAGAGCTCATGTGGATCTTTTTCGAGAGTACCGAGAATATTAGCGAGGGCCGCGCCTTCCAGCTATATGTAAGGGCCATTCCCTATTCGATTGAGAACTTGCAAGCCCTGATGCTGACTCGGCTGAACCGATTCTTTCTGACGGCTGTGACGACACAGGAGTACATAAACCTGACGGCCGAACAGGTCTATGCAGTGCTCACAATCAGTGCCCTCGCTGTCAACTCCGAGATGGAGGTATTCATGAGCGTCTTTCGCTGGATGATGTACGACTGGGCGGAACGCAAGAAACACTCGCACTTTCTAATGCAGACCGTAAGATTCAATTTGATGCCAGCCTGGTATATACTCTCGCTGAAGACGAAGCCAAAAAAGCGCGAGCTAGCAGAGCTCCTCGACGACCCCATAATGCAGGACACTCTCGATGCGGCACTGTCCTACACGGTGACACAGCACTTCATTACCAAAGACTCCCCATTGACGAAGCCGCTGGAATTGAACACCGAGCATCAGCGCGAATGGATCATCGATTGTTATGCACGTCACCATCATCTCTACAATTGCCCCAATTGGGTGTACCTGGACTACAAAGTGTTCGATTCCTATATGGAGGAGATCATCAAGTCTAGAAAGGAGCATTTTAAGGACTTAAAGCTTTTTAAGCCTTCGAATTTCGCGCCCTGCTGCCGGGAACTGGTTGAAAATTGCGAAACTCTTTTAGAGATTTGAGTTTGATTAACATTTTACCGTCTCACCAATCGATTTGCCTGTTTGTTTTGGGTGGGCGGGGCGTGTCAACACCCTGGGGCACAGTGTAATTGCCACTATTAATTCCATGCGGACTGAGCAGCCGCTTCAGCTGAATTTCCAACTGTAGCTTTACATGCCCATTGAGCGTTTCTAATTGGCTCAATAGCCGCCATTTACGATATTAATTGTCAACGTTTATGAACTAAGTGTTGCGACCTCGATGTGTGTGTGTGTGTGTGTGAGTGTGTGTGCGGAAATTGGTGCTCGTGTGTTTATGTGTGTTAAACACTCGCACTACACTTATATTCCGGTGTTTGCCAACGGTAATCAAAAGCACGAAAAAATTCAAATAAATAAACAGCAATAGCAGCAGTCAAAATGATAGTCAACTGATACCCTAGACTCAACAACAAGAGCACTTCAACTTAATGTAAGCATAGTTAGTAAAGTTCTATTCACTTATGTGTGACTAGTTCACTGACTAGTGCTTCCAGGTAAGCTATTTTATATTCCAATTAAATTAAATCCTTTGCCTCAAATTAATATAGTTGTCAATATATACAACTTTTAACCTTAACAGGGTATTGAACAACTTTTGTGCACATGTAGTCAAACAAATTTGAGAATTTTTAAACACTTTAAGTTTTATTTGCATTGCTTTCAATTTTAAATATAATTTTTTTATATATTACTACACAGAAGAGTTAAACGTGCTGTGCAAATATTTTTATTTCCTTATAAACAACTAATTTTTGTGGTAGTCTTTCAAGTGGCATATGTTAAAATAGAAGCAAATATTATATATATTATAGAAGAAATATCTACTATGGCTACTAAATCAGTTTCTGAAACAAACATTATATAAAAAAATATCTGATTTACATAGTAATACTATTAAAATAATATAATAAATATATGCAAATATCAAAAAACCCTTACTTTATATATATAGAGATTTATACATATTTATTTATTTTTTTTTTTTTTCAATAACTTAAGACGCATAAATCACGTAAAAGCAATACGGTCAATTGCCACTGGTTGAATTTTATAAAATACGTTTTCGATGATAAAGTTCACAATAAATGCGTTTCCATTCATTGATTGTTTTACGCAACGGCTCAAAGAAAACCCCATATACATGTGTATGTAATGCATACCATTTCGGTTTTATTTCATATTATTTAATTGTCTGCAGTTAAGCCGACAACGATAAATCAATGCCTGAACAATCGCTGGCAAATAATCAACGATTTTTAAATGTATTTTTACACACTTTCGGGGACAATCAGAGACTTAGCTGCGCATAAAGTTGCAAAAAGACACGCCTTTGATGCCGCACATAATGATTGATGAATGCAATTAAAAGTGGGCAAGCAAAGGCGCAATAATGAGCGACTGCAGGAGGCGTCTCTGACAATCAGACTTGAGCACTTTGTTAGCAAAAGAAATGAAAATTAACGATAAAATGCAGTACAAAAGCTGCTCGACTGTCAGCAACGACTGCTGCAGCCCGAATTTAGCAAACGAGCCAACTGTTTAATACCCTATTCAATGGCAGACTCTCAGCTATGCGAGCTAACGTCACAAAAGCGAATTCAATTTGGTTGCTTATTGTCATCTATTACCGACAACAAATGCGATAATCCTATTGTGGTTGTTGGCTCCCTTTAATTGGAATCTCCCCACCCGCCCTCACACGCACTGCCACACTAACACTCTCACACACACACATGCGAAAACTCTAGCTAACAGCGACAAACAAAAGCGGCTTTATTTTTCATGTTTTGCGGCGAGTGCGTTTTGAGGCGCCATTACTCACTGCTCGCCGAATGGCATAACGGTGCTTGTGGAGCTGCCCACCCCCGTCCCCCACGGCATCCGATGGGATAAACTATCAGCTGGCATTTCGCATGCCACGAAAAGTTTCCAACCATTGTTTCAGTTGTCAAACAAGCGTTGTCAAAAAGTTTTCGCCCGCCTCGCCAGCCGCAAATTAGGTGGCGCAGCTTAAAGGCCACACTTAAAGCCTGATTAGCTAATTGACCATTTCGCATGGGACTCGAAACAGGAGTCTGTCGTTTCGCTTTGCTACAGCTGCAATGCGATACCCAGCAAAGAGCTGCCCATACCTTTAGCCTAACGATGGGCTAGTTCGCGTCGCCTTTAAAGAGAATATTAATAATAACTGCACGCAGCTTCGGCTGGCTTAGTTTCTGGGACAGTGTCGACCGCAGCTACAAGTCTGAATAATTCGCTTATTGCAATTAAAAGCAATTATGTTCGTTGTCCCAAAAACCACAAACTCATTAGCTTGGTGCACCAAAACCACAATGCAGCATTGCTTAACCACAGAAACAACAAATACCTGCACAGCAGCAACTAAGCTACCCCCAAATACAAACACACACACACACACACAGACGCAGACGCAGATGCAGGCACTCTCATATACTATCACAGTAATTGTGTGTGTGTGTGTGTGTGTGAACTGTATTTACATATTTGGGATTTAAACTGGGCTACCATTGAATTCTAAAGCTCTATCGTCTTTCAAATTGCAAAACTTGAGCCACTTTCATGCTAAGCAATTTTTTGGCCGCATCCTTTTTGACATGTGTGTGAAGTGCTTTCTCCCCATTGTCTATTGTCCATTGTCCATTGCCCGCTGCCCATTGCCCATTGGCCATTGGCCCGCAACGGGTGGTTGAGGTGGGTAAAATGTTTGTTTAGAAGGTTTTATGCATATGTCGGACATGTGAGAAATTCCATTAGGAAGTTTTCTTTGTTTGCATAACATTTGCATCTCCAACAGAAAATAAAATTATTTATTTGTGGCCAAAATGGGTCGCTTTCACTCACAGCACTCACAGATTCCACATCTAGAATTTTATTATTATTATTATTATTATTATTTTGTAATGGATTTGAGTGTTTGCAAAGCCATGGCAAAGAATAAATCATTTGCATAAAATCGATTATGCCATCTCAACCGTATCAAATGAATACCAAAAAAAAAAAAAAAAAAAGTAAAATAAGAGAAACGTGAAGTAAAATAAATACAAATATAGATCAGAGTTTACCTCACACGAATTGTGGAAGCATTGCTTCTATCTATTCTATCCATATATGATCGCC